TAAGGTGGCTTACCCAGGGACCCACAGCTGATAGAATCAAGGAGATGGAATTAATTAATCTTCATTTTATAGTACAATCTACTATCTGGAATTGGTTCTTGATACACGGAAATTTAATATTAGCAGTGTTAGGTCATAAAAAGAAACCCTTAATTTTTATGGCACAAAGTACAGAATGTAGATTCTCCCACAAATGTACACCAACCACTGAAATGAGTTGTCATTTTTTTCCATGTGTGATTAAATATTCCAATAAACATTTTGCAAATGCCTGCCATGTGTGAGGAGTTCTGACAGAGGCCTTAGAGACCACAAAAAGTGGAACAAAAAGTTCTTAAGACCTTACTTCTTCACCAAGGGCAGGGAATCCAGTGAAGTTAATACGCTATTGATGCTTAATTGAAAGCAGAGTAGCGTTAGTGAAATCTTGGGAGAGCAGGTAGAAACAGGGTTCCTGCTAAAGAAAACAACTGAAGCAGAGCTGTAGGTGTGTGTTAGCTGTGTACAAAGGACCGTGCCCAATAGTCAAACTCATGCAATAAGCATGTGCAATAAAGATTGACTTTACTAATGGTTGGATAGAGATGAAGTGCTTTGAGGTAGTAAGAATAATGAGGCTGGCTTTGCTCAACTTCCTCAATCTCGTTCTAGCAACTGCCAGTGAATTCATGAGTTACACAGTCTGGGTTAGATTCCATAGGTAGAATTTATAAATGCCAAAGGCTTTCAAGTAGTAACTCTGTTCAGCCCTCCCTCCCCCATGTATATCAAAAATTCAGTAGTTGATAATAATGTTAAAAATGTCTATTTTTCTAACCAGTGAGTGTATAGGTCAGCTGCAGTTCCCTGGCTTAATTTTCCTGTACTCCAAACCTAATTCCAAGCTTTGGGTTAAATTTAACTCTGTCAGTCTTTGTTTATATCCTAGTACTAGCAGTTATACAAGCGCTCAGCAGATAGTCTTGCAGGAATAAAGTAAGGAGAAATGTGTATATGTACATCATAGGAAGAGCACAAAAGAATGAATAGAACAGGAGAGGAGAGAGGCTTCTAACTACCCAAACTATAGGCCAGCACCAGTGGAACTGAGAAGTACCTCCAGGCACAGCGAGACTCAATGTGGTTCCGCTGGCACAGAACACAGACACGCAATTCTAATACAGAAGGAAAGCAAACAACTTGGAACAATGATTCCGTATCCTTGGATTACCTTGTTACAGAAATGTCTAAAAATGGAGCTGTGAGCTGAAAGGTGGAGAAGCAAAGATGCTAGCAGAATAAATTCTGTCTACAACAAGATGAAAAATGGAATGAGTACACGGTGGGGAGAGAAGATGAAGGAGAGGACAGGAGAATACTAACTGGAAGTGAAAAGTTAACCAGTCAAAGCAGTGGGGCTGGAAGAGAATTAAGAGTCATGGATAGCTATGAATCCAAGCCATCATGCTAGGCAATTTACACACTATCTCACAAAATATCACAATACTTAGAGGTCGGGACTATCGGTACATTTTAGAAAAGCAGAATGTGAGGCTCAAATGGCTGTGTAACTTGCCAAAGACAGACCAGCAAATCAGTAGCATTTCTGGGACTATCAGATTCCAAAGTCCTCTTCAAAAAATGGAGATTGATTTGAAATCCATCTTGGAAATCCAGTCAGTGGGTAGCATCGCTCTAGTGAGTTATAATGACTCTTTCCTAAGCTTCTACTTGGAGAATGGAGTAAGGTCTCCTCACTAGCTGAGACATGCTGGTAAGAACCAGGTTCTCAAGCAAAGGAAGATAAATGGGTTGTTTCACTTAAGTCAATGATGGCTATAAGATGTGAGATGGCCTAAAAAATTTATTTTAAACATGTGTTTTATAATTCATGAAGATTTCAGTCCTTGAAAAATAACTCTAGAAATAAGAAAGAGCATTGAAGGCATAGAAAATTATATAAGCCAAGTATCAATAATGCCTTGTGCAATTCACGTTTTGGGAGTGGCTAGCAACTCAATGACCATTGACGTGTACACGTGTTCAGTGGTGTCACTAGCGTGTATAGCAGATAGTGAGAGGCTGGGTTAGTTGCAATCAGCTTTGGATACTCAAATAGAACATGGAGACTTTTCTCAAACAGGAAGTGGTATGTATTCTGGTCCAAGGGTAGACTTATAAGCCTGGCTAAGGTATTACTGAGTACAAGCTGAACCTGAGGTGGGAGGCCAAGCGGAAGGATTTTGCATTCGTTTGTATAAGTGGTAATGAGAAGCTAAGCCTGGTAGTAACAGTAGAAGCAGAAATGAAGGAACAGATGGAACCACTTCTTTGGAAGAAGTTACTGTGCAGCACAGCAACCGCTCTGCATATCATTAAACATGTGTCAAGTGCATTTTGCAACTTCATTTAGCTCTAAAGGTTTTTTCTCTCCAGGTATGTAGACCCTTCAGAATTTATTGGTCATCTGCTCTCATGTTTTTAATTTAGACTTACAATTACCCTGAGGGAGGGGTTCTAACTGATTTGTTCTGTTTGCACAGCATCTATCAGAATAAGTGCTGGGTACTTGGTGAATAAGTGAACGTATATGCTGGCCGGCACATGCTAACATCCACATTTCCATTGGACCTTCACCTTTTTCTTCTGCCCAGCCCATCTGTCACCCCACCAAAATTCCATTCGTTCTTGCCTCTTTAGAGTGGGTCTTGCCTGTTAAGAGGAGGAACCAGATCGCCGAGCAGTCTATATTCTGTGAGATTTTCGTGCAACGTGTTTCCCAGTCACTGCCTTCAGTCAAGTTCAGTTGACTCTCTTTGCTACTTCTTAGTGTGAATTTAGATCTGTCCAATAATGTTCTCATTGTGTAAAGTACTGACAATTCAGTTCTGATTCCTTTTTAACCCTCTTGCTTTATTTCCATGTCCTTACACACGCGCGCACGCACACACACACACACACACACACACACGAACACTACAGTATCCTTCCAACAGACTGCCTCCCCTCATTGTTCTGATTCGAGTTGTTTGGTACTGGGACAAAACAAAAGGTTTGAGAGAAGAGGTGAAGTTCCTTGGTCTCCAGTAGGTTCGCTTTGCGGTTATCTGGAGGGTATCCCTGATTCCTCAGCTTTCAGTGGCCATCAAGGGACCTAAGTGTGACAGGTGGTCAGTGACTGACCTTTCCAAGGAATTGTGTGTGGATGCTTTGGAGGCACCCTATGGAGAGCCTGTCACACAGTTCTCTGGGAAAGATCAACTGACACTTTCCTGAAAATCATCAAGGATCCTTAAGCCTCCCGGCAGTAGCTACTGCTGGGCTGGTCAGTTTCTTGGGTGGACTACCAACAGGATGTCTGTGCTAGGCTGATAATTTCAACTCCAGAGTTCCTCTGTCTTTCCTTTTGCCCTTTCTCCACTTATTCCCTAAGAGAAGCCTCCTGTGTCTGGGGTAAGTGTTTAGATTAGTTCAGCCACCCTTAACAAGGCAGGGAACATGCACTTCACCTGGGTAGTTTGACTCTTCTAAACAGGAAAGGACCCAATATGTCTGAGCCTCCACCTGGGGTTCTAGGCCTCCAGTTTTACACACAACACTCAGTTATTTGTACACACCACTGAGCTTCATTTTGCAAACTCTGACTCATCATGTATCGTCACCATGTAATAAATACTGAGTAAGTGCCACTTGCCTGGGCATTTGGTGACTAGGTAAAAGGAGGTGAAAGTCAGTCAACAGAAAAGCAAAACACGAACATTAACTCAACTGAGACATTGGTGCCGATAATGAATTATACTGTAACATTGCTGCATTTAAACCTGGGCGTGTATGTTAGTTTGAGGAGTGAACAGCAGGAAGGAGGGGATGGGGGAGAGGTAACTTTAAAGTGAAAAGCCAAGGAGACTCTCAACTGAGTACTCCACGTAGTGACAGAAGGCTTCTGATGCAGAGATTAAAGATCTGGATCCTGGGCACCTAAACGAATCTTTTCTCTGCTCATAAACCAGAATCATATAGATTTCCATTAATGTTTAATCTCCTTAAACTTGATGGAAGAGGAACACGAGTTCTGCATCTTGACCAGTTAGCTGCTCCCAGCAGGTATTTCCCTGAATGTTGACATCAGTGGATGAGAGGGTAGGCTCTCCCAAGGAACCCCAGTCCCTGACCCTGCTCCGTCATGCAGGGAGTCCAAGTTTCAGAAGTGAGTCACGTCAAATTCAAACACCATGAATTCAACTCAGATTTCAAATTGAAAAATTAAAGGGCTTAGGAGAATCTCTATAAATTTTTCAACCCAGAAGTTCTTCCTGCTTAAATTATTTTCACATTCCAATTTAAACTCAGAAACATTATGTTGCTGTCACACTTCTTTGTTCCCCTCAAGTATTTTAAAAAAAAAAAAACAAAAAAACTCTGTATATAGCTGACAAAAAATAGAAGCCTGTCTGCCAGCAAGTTCCCTCTCCATGTCTAACATTCTGTAGAGCTGAGGCAAGGCACACACTCTTAAAACACTCCGGGCCGCTTTAACTGGCTCTCCACAGCAGCGTGCTCCTCCAGCATGCGTGCACCACCTACATTGCATGCCTTGCATAAGCGTGAACCCCTTTGGAACGCTTAAACCGTGCAGTATTTTCACACAATCTGATGTTGTGCATATGAGAATTACCATCCCTGTTTTGAAAATGCAGTCCCTCTCGCCTTCCCCTTCGCTGGCAACTCTGAAATTCCATTCCAACAGCATCTCCAACCGGAGTTTGACATATTTCATCATCTCAAACACAGAGCTAATTTAGCAGCTAAATTGGAAATTTCTGGGTGTATTTTTGAAAACTAATTCAGCGTGAAGATTACTAATGATTTAGAATTGTTCACAAAGCGTCTTCTTTTTTCCTTATTTTTCTATCCAGAAATATCTTGATGTTTCCTATCAGATTAATTTGCGAGTGTCAAGATGCTTCCTGTTGTTGGAACAGAAGGGAGCTGGCTAATAAATGTGATGTTCTTAATTACAGATGAGGCCCATTGGTCATGATGGCTACCATCCCACCTCTGTAGCTGAGTGGCTGGATTCCATTGAGCTGGGTGACTACACCAAAGCCTTTCTCATTAATGGCTACACGTCAATGGACCTGTTGAAAAAAATCTGGGAAGTTGAACTTATTAATGTAAGTTGGTCTCTTTCTGACACCTTAATTGTCCTACTTTTGATAAGTGGATTTTACTGCAGGTGAAGAGTTCTTTTTCTTTGTTTGTAACTGTTTGGGCATCTAATAGAGATTTGTAGATAAACGTGTGTGTGTGTGTGTGTGTGTGTGTGTGTGTATTAGCTCTGAAGTCATTATCTTTTGACATTTTGAGATGGGGAAGTAAGACATAAAGAGAAGAAGGACCCTTGAGAATTTTTGCATTCTCAAGCAAAAACTTCCAAGAAGTTCTGGGTTTTCCATTTTAGGAAATCTTGTCAGTTTAGTATATAGATGTGATGGCAAAATATGATCTTTGCTCCTGTTCACTATTAAAAGCCAAAATTATCACCTTTTTGTTTCTTAATCACATTCTTTTTAGCACTCTGTCAAGTTTCTTTATTTCCTAATTAGAATTCAAACCCCATGCTTGGAGGGACTACTTCTGCTCTTGCTAAACAGGTTACTGTAGTCATCAAAAATGTTATCTTCTGGAATTGGCGTCCAATCATATGTTGTCTCTGTTTTATTCATATACTTGGCATAAATTTTCTATAAACGCTGGCCAGCATATGTTGCCATATATTCGGGCCCAAAGAGATCAACTCAGTCTTCATGAAGGATTCTTATTCTTCCTCACTTCCTTTTTATTCCAATTTATTCTAGTGCAATTAAGTGAAGAAATGAAAATTTTAAAAAAAGTAGAAGAAAATAATCGTGTACAATTGTGCTATGTTTTGGCATTGTAAATGTTTTGTGATTTAAAAAAGACAAGGATAAATCATTGTTTTATAAGGTTGTTTAGATTTATATTATAATGATGGGTGGAGGGGAGGCATTTGTAAGGTGAAGTAAATCTAACAACTATTACTGATTCTGCATCACTCTCTTCTGCTTCTTTTTGTTGTTGCTTTCTGTCCAAGAGACTGGTTTCTACATATTCCATGCCATTAATTATTGTAATCAGCATTATTACTATTAGATAATTATCCTTTGCTTTTTTAATGTATTTTTAAAAATAACATCTTTCCTAGAACATCTAAAGAAATTGTTCTTGAATCTAAAAAAAAAATAATAATAATCACATGAAGTTGATAGAATCTTGGCCTCAACTTTTTGCTTTTTATCCCCTCACAAAAGCTATCATTGCCAGAAGAAAGGCGCTGTCTAAAACTCTGGTCAGCATTGTTCTTAGTCTGTGTAGCAAAGGAGCAAACCGAAGTTGCCTCAGGTTTTTCTTGTGCAGTTCTCTACGAGACTTGAGCCTGTCTCTCAGCTCCTCTTAGGCACTTGTTAACAGGGTCACTTTCCATGGATTAGCCAAGCCAGTTTCCAAGTGAACTGTACCCCACTTAACGGTGTAGCCTGAAAACTAAGCCCGTGTGATATCCTCGGAGTACAGTTGTTCCCTGCTGAAGAGCTGGCGCAAAGTAGCATATGAGCCATTTACTTGGCTAGCGTAAGCACTACTTTCCAATGAATAGAATGGATTCTAGAAGGACCCTATGGTAACTGTCTTGTTGAGTGACAGTGAGGTTAGTAATGCTGGGAGACCCCTAGGTTTGCTTCCTGGGCTTGGAGACTAATCATAAACCCCTTTGAATTCATGCCTTTTTGCCAATGCTTCTTTAATGGTTTCCCTTTTAGCTACACTTGCTGAATTCTGACTTGGAAATCTAGGTTCAACTTAGAGGTATTGCTTAGAACTTGAAAGCCTGGTCTCCATGTTCAAGACCTTGATTCCACTCTTCTGATCTGTGCACCTACCATCAAACCTGCAGATTTTCCTTAAAGTAAACTCGCTGGATTTAGATTTCTGTGGCATCTATATGGGAAGATAGACATGCTTACTGAAAACCAAACAAACAAACAAAAATCTGAGCCTTTAGACTTAGAATTAAAATACAGCATTTCATAGTTCCTAGAGCTGGGTACCTCATTTAAGGAGCTTGGGGTTATTAGATATATTTTTTCTTTTTAAGGTGAGAAGGGCAACATGTGCCTTTGGCTTGCAAAGCTTTTGAGTAATCTCAAGTTCTCTTTGATCTCATAAAAAGAGAAGACAAAGTCAAGACCTTTGTGTAAACTAATGAAGAGAGGTATTAGCCCGCATGCAACATATGGCTGAACTAATATAATATTGAGTACCCACAATTTGTTGTTTCCTGGCTGATGAAGGGAACATATCACAATCCTGATTTAAGGAAAAGGCCTTTAGGGAACTCATCATGGCTCAGTGTAGAATGACTGATTCACGTCCTTGATCACTGTGGTGACTGGCTGGTTCTCATCACAGATCACTATAGCAAGGTGATGGTTTCCATCCTGGATCACTGCGGAGTGACTGATTCCCATCCGGGACCACAGAAATGAGCAGCTGATTTAACAGGAGCCAGACTACTGTCTGGTGGCTATTTCTCCTGTAAAGTTGAAAAGCAAACCCCATCTGTCAGAGGTGCAGAGGTCAGCTGGTAGAGGGAAGAAAAGAGAGAACCAGCAGGCCAGCTGTTGGTGTGACTGTAAATAACATAAGCATTGTCAGGTAGCACTGATGGAGCACCAGTGTATACGGTGATAGGCTTGCTATTGCTCTCATGAGGGTGATAAGCTTGTGCAAAGTGTCCAAATTCTTGCCTTGAACATACAAATGCATCGTTGAAACTTTAATATTTGGAAAGCCCTGAAGACCTTTACATTGTAGTGTATATTGTTGGTTTTTAAAACTGAGTTTATTTGTATAAACAAATAAGGGGTTTGGACACAGAGCTACCCAAGATGTTGGGAGGAGACAAAAGAATGGAAAACTCACCATTAGCACAGAGAAACTCTTAAGGCAGGAAGCACTGGTGGTTTTGTGGGTCTAGACCTGTCTCAAATTAGAGCATGAAATAGAGGCTGACAATTGACCCTTTTAGCTCTTAGTCTGGCTTCACCTTCAGACCCTGGTGTTGACTCATTTACTCCTGTCTTGGTTACAATCAGTAACCTTTCTATTGACATTTTAGTGTTAAAATGGGGACACGTTAGGAAATACTGCAAGGTGAATTGTTCCCCCTGCAGATGCTAGCTTCGTGGACCTCTGCTTTGAGTTATTATTGTCCCTCCAAAGGCTTGTTAAGAGAATTAACAAGCAGTTAATTCTGATGAGTTAGCAGTTCAAAGGTCCATTTTATTTTCCCTTCAGAGGTTGCTCAGCTGTGGCATATGGTACTAGCCAGTTTGTCTAGCATTTCCACTACTACCAACAACCTCGTCAGCTCTGCATGGAGGACTGCTTAGATAAAAGGGAATATATTTTCTCCGTGAAGTGCATATAGATTAATTGTGAAATTAAAAATAATAAGCTAAGGCCCATGTAAATAACTTGTTATTCATTTTCTGGACACTAAAAAGGTATTGAAATTATAAAGAACGATGTTAATTTCTCTTATCCCCCGTGTGTCTACTAAAGGGATTTGAGTACATCCAAATAACACTGAACACTGTTCAATTCATTAACTTGTGAATCTCATTGTAGAACTGATGATTAGTTTCTTCCCATTGACTTTACCATTGTTTACCAAGGAAATCATTCTATCCAAGGCCTTGTGTATCCTCCAGTATTAATAATGGCAAAAATTCTTATTGAATAGGCAAAAAAAAAAAAAAAAAAAAATCAGGTTTCAGTGCATTCTTAAATCCCTGCTCATAATACAGAATTGCTTTTAAAAATATAATATAGTCTTCGGTTTTTAATATCTCTGGGTAGAAGTTAATAAAGCAGCTAAGACAGCAACACCCCTATGTATCCTGCAAAACTGTTTCTCATCTCCCGTGAATAGCATTTGGAATTATTTTTGTGGCAGCAAATTGATTAGTTCGTCATTTGCTTCTTGCCTAACTACTTCTGGAACTGTTTCACATTCATGCAGGACTGTCGGCTTGTTTTTCTAGGGTTTCTTGATGTCAATGATTTAATTTCTACCTTTCTGGGAAAAGTCCATGATAACCTAATCCCAAGACGATGTAGTAAGAAAGTTTTTTAAGGAAAACTTGCTAATTTTGCATTCATTCTTTGATAATATGACTTAATTGCTTTAAATGTTGGCAGTATAAAGCCCCTTGTTTGAGATTTTTTTTAAATGTGAAGATAGTGACTGTTGAACATGAAAGCACACACAGGGTGTTTTAGGGGTGCTATAACTTGTATAATAAACCTGTGTCCGTCCCATACCCTGGACGGCAGCCCTTTTCTCCATTCCTCTGTGCGGACTTTGTTTCTATCTGGCATCATTTTCCTTCCACCACATTTAAATAATGTGAGGCTGCTATTGGTGAGTTCTGTGAGCATGTGAACCTCTGGAACATACTTTATTTTGCTTTCATTTCTGAAAGCTAATTCTCCAGGGTAACTACATTAAAGATGATGGCAGACTTGGGCTCTTTCTGCATTATTTCTATTTGGTTATGATTTATATACTAAGTAAACTTTATTCATATTTCTTGTGTATTAAGTTATGACTTAATATGACTTAGATATGAGCCTTATAGTTTTAATGAACTTCAAAAATTGTTTTTGGTCATTGTTTCTTAAAATAGGTTTTGGGCTTTTCCCTCCCATCCCCTCCCCCACCCCCTCTCTTTGGCTCATTTGAATAGTTTCTATTGCTGTGTCTTTGAATCCACTATTCTTTTCTTCTTACAACCAATTGCTCTTATTATCCAGTATGTTTTCATTGCTGAAACTCCAGAATTCAGACTTGAATCTTTCCACACTTCTCTTGTCTCTGTTTAACATGTCCAGTCCTTTTTCTAAACTTGTTGAACATGTGAGAACTTTTATTGTTCTTATGATCCTAAAGTCTGCACCAGCCCAGGATTGGTTGTGGTGCATTGGTTTTCTCTTTGCTGTTGTTTGCATGCCTAGTAATTTTTATTTGCACACAGACAGTATGTGTTTTACCCTGCTGAGGGATGGATAATTCTGTATCCCCATCAACATG